AATCGTGTAAATCCATGACTCGCTTTCTTCAGATAATGCGGATTTGAATATCAAAGCGAGTGAAACCTGTCAAGAAGTGATCGATCCGGACAACGGTGACGGCTTTGCATTGATGTGGGGTGGTGCCAGGTCCACATATGGCATTCGAATTTCCAACGACGAAATATTCGCGCACTTCCCCCCTGTTATTTTCCAGATTAAGGCTTGTTCTTTTCTTTCCTATCATCGCTTTACTGAATAGCCTAGCGTAGTGGGATCTATGTCTTGGCGACTTTGCAATTCAGCAGTTTCATCGTATGCTTGATATTGAAACTCTATACATTACTACTTTACACGCTACTACTCATCATCTATAATACTTTCTACTTTTACTAACATACACTTTCTATTTTTACTAGCATACTTTATATAAGTACTTTAAATTTGATTTTGTACCAATTACAATTGCCGCAATCATCGTACTGACGAGGTCCAATTGTGGTAATGGTAAGAAATGTATACGACTTAATGGAACCATTATAATAATTTTATTAAAATAATTTCTTAATATTATTTTCCCTTCCACTCTCCTTCCTATTTCAAAATACCTTTCTATTGGAAGTCCGAGCAATCGTAGTGTCTTTTGCTCTTCAGTATTGATATAAAATGTGTTCCTGCAGAGTAAGAATTATACATGTTTCAGCCAATCACTGATTAACCTAGCAGATAATGAGGAAGGGCAGGGAAGGGGAGAAAGGAGCGAGAAGATAGGGAACCGTATTTGTTTATTTCCGAGATAATTTGAAAATCGGGGACAAATTTTGCAAAAAAAGTTGCAAGTTTTAGTCCGGAAAAACACGCCTTTCTGTTTTCGCTGGAATGGAGCCCCCGATCATATGTTGTAGGTGGAAGAGTCTGCATAACTAGCGGGAGCCTTGTAGATTCGGAAGAAAGGATGGTGGGAATTTATCAAAAAGACACAAAATTTATTAGCCGATGCATAAAATTCAGTTTAAAAAACATTAGAATCTGTTATTAGTACTTAGTTTTGATCTCAGTTTGTGGATTCGGCATCATTTTTTCAAAAAATGGAAAGGTTATGAGGTTGTGCGCTTTATTACGACTTGTTTATGTGACTGTACTGATATTTTTAGATATTGGAATACATGACGATCAAGCATTTACCATTTGAAGAAGCCGATGCTCACGATGTACGAATAGGCTGGTCCACTCACAATTCCACCAATATTGTACGTTTTTTGCTTGGGTTTTGCAGAAATTTTGTATTTTGGGTCTTCGATTACGTCACCTGCACTTTTTTCCACACGACATCAGTTTTTTAAGAATAACTTGACAAAAAATATTTGGTGTTTCTCCAGCTCTTTAAAGCTCTGACCTTTGAAGCTCGTGAAGCTCTGACCTTCGGAACTAGCCAAATTTGCTGCTTGGATTCTCGAAATCCCCTTTTTTAGATGACCCCCCCCCC